GACATGCTACACTTATCCAAGAAAACTGTAAAAACAAAATACTCATGGGTTTAAAACAATAATTTATACCAGCGTAAGGAACAAAAATATAGTCACACTTATCGAAGAGAAGCAAATAAATTTGATTTTTACCTAATGTCAGTAAGTTTGACAGAATGTTTCAGGACATAGACCCTAACACTGCAAATAAATTTGATTTTTACCTAATGCTATAAAGATATGCTAAATGTCTTTACGTGCACATAGACCCTAACAATGCAAAACATATGATGTATAGTATACTGTTGAATTAGATCTCCTTCTTCACTGCATCTTTTAGGGATAAGGAGTGTTATTAGATGTTAATATTGCACATGCAATGGGTTAACCATTGCATCCCTCGACTTAGTATTTTGGGCATTACTCGTAGTAGTGGGATGAGATAAATAATCAATGTGGGCAAAAAATACAAGGATGACTAGCAATCAAACATGTCATTAAGGCGACTTTGAAACATGCTATCCAAACTTGAGCTTCAAAGCTCAAGCCGCCTCCTCAATATAACAAATTAATCGAATGGGATTTTGACAAATCTTTTTCCCAACTTTGACAGCCCTACAAATCTAACATCATAATCTATCTACCATCAAGTTCACAACGCAATATAAAAACAACTAATGGGTGCAGAAGATTTATCTTAAACCTAGCCACTTGCCCATGCTTAATGGTAGAGGCTAAAAGGCGTTGACATCTCCTAAAAAGTCTAGACTATGAACATATGTAGATATAAGGTTTAAGAATTAGACAACAGCAAATATCAAACATAAACGTGCATGCATTATTGGGGCTCAAGAAATGTAAATTAGTCCAAATAAGTGTGAACTGTGATTGAACAAGCTCGTCAAAGAATCTCAACAAGTTATTAACATAAGAGCCTACCAAATCTGACCATAGTCGATATCAGGACATCATTAACAAAGATCAAAATAGTTCCGATATACACACTACTTAAATCCATTCCAATAGAAACATAAGACACGATTATAATAGCAGAAAGTCAGCTAAAAAGTTTTTCCCTTAACATACCTTAGTTACACAGTAATAAGTCCCGCCTGCATTCCATATCCGGCGACCAATAACATACTCCCTATCACTGCAGAAGAAGGGGAACTACACAAGCACAACAAAGCTCATAAGCAAACATACTATCAAATCTTTGTAACTAGAGACCTCCAATACCAAAAAAGCTCTTACCTTTCTCACCCAACGAACTACCATCGTCCCAGTCTTCCCACACTCTTCAAGCATTGTGTGCTGGAGGAGCATATCATCCCATCTGTTGCTGGTTCTAAACTCATCATCCCAAAAGAAATCCCTCACCATTTCTGGCGTCGCATCCTCAAATATCGTACTACTTCGATATTGTGGAGGACCAGTCTTTAATTATTTGTACATACACAATACACATCGAATCAAACAAAGATAAATTAAAATTCTCCTAGCTATTTCAATGGTGAAAGAGTTATACCTCAGGCTCTCTCTTCCAAGCTCGATAGGCAAACCCCGGCATAGTCTTATTCATCATCTGTTGCCAAGCAGGACCTCCATCTGTAACCTCCACAAGCTGAAACAAATGCTTCAAGTCCTCACTAGTCACTGCCCGTTCCTCTTTCTCAACAACCTGCGCGCTGCACAGAATCCAAACCCATCAAAAACCCATAACCCAAATCAATCCCAAAACTCAACAAACACAACCAAAACCCTTCAATTTACCTGATCTCCACAACCTTCTCCTCCCTCTCACAGCTCGAACTAGCAAGACCCTTGAAATTATCCAACCTCAACAAACTGCTTCCACTATTAGAATTCCCCCTCTGCACATCGACCAAATCCGCAGCCCATCTCGGCCTCCAACTCCAGCCCACCACCAGACCAACAAACACAGCAATCCACAAAGGGGCAGCAAACATCGCAAGCTCCGATACAATATCCCCAATAGTGGGTTTCTTCAAAATCTCAATCAGGGCATCCATAATCAACGCCATGGAACAAAACCCAGATGATAATTTTGGGTATAAACCAAAGCCCCTCAAAGATTGGATTCCCTCAGGGTCCGAAGCTCGAGGGAATGAAAGGATAAGAGAGAGCTAAGTGGTGGTGATAAGAGAAGAGAATCAATAGGAAGAGGACAAGGGGGTTTGGGAGAGGAATGGATAAGGATTGAGCTAGAGAGGCGCGGAGTCGGGGGATTTGGATTCTCTGTAGGGCCACGGCCCTTCGCTCCCGCTAATTTTAGGGTTCGCGATTGAGGGGTTAGCGGAGCCAGAGAGATTCAGAACGAAAACGGGGCAAATCAAAGCTAAGGATCATCCCTGGAGTAAGTTTGGGGTTAATTTATATGGGCTGCGACTTGACTGGATTAGGCCGCGTTGTTCTGACTAGGGACCGAGGGGATTGGGGAATTGGACGGTTAGGGTTTGAAATTTTCTGGGTTTTGATTTTGGAACTTTTTTTGAGGGTTAACGAGTTGCACGAGGTTTGATTGAACACCAAAAGGGCGAGCAGAGTTTTTGACCGCGAAGTTTGTGGTCGTGGTATGACTGGGACCAGATTTTATTAAGGGCGGGGTCGAAACAGAATGACTTTAAGCTTGGTTGAAAATAAGAACGGAGAAAGTGTGTGCTTTTTTGTTGTTTGACGCATGAACTGCATGTTTTGCATGGAATAATGATTTTTACAAGAGTTACTGTTTAGCTAATGAGCACCGACCAAATGATGCTGTTGGGTGTGGGTAAAGAGTAACTAGCCTGTATGCATGTGGACGGCCCATCCACTCCTAAAAAGAATCCAAATAATTACAGTAAATATTGCTGCGTGAATAGCAAATCAAATTTGGGTCTCTTTACTCGGAATTATTGTTCATATTACAGTAGTTTACTGTAGTACAAACAGTAAATCAAAATGATCCTCTGTGCTTGAAGTTACTATTTATGCTACAGTAGTTTACTGTATCATAAACATTAAATCAAATCAAGTGTATTAAAACTTGGATCATTCTTTAAATATAGAGGAATAGATATGATTTCTAAATTAAATATATTAGAACTTGGATCCTTCTAGTATAGAGGAGTAGATATGATTTCTAATTTTAAACATACAATAATTAAATTACATATATTAAAACTTAGAGGGAGGTAAGTTCAAAATGCAGTGCATAAAAAAATAGAGGGTCGTACTTTGCACGGGGTGCACACTAGTTGGAATAAATGTCTGTGTATGAATCCTAAAATTAATGACTCAAGCAATGGTTGGCATTCATTTGGTGAATCTCAAAACAAATATGCAAATATATTTCCTCCGGGTAGATATTCTCTATGATACACCAACTGGGGATTGAATCTTTGTAATTTTGTTTGTGCAAAAATAATCTCTAAGTAAAATTATAAGAACAGAAAATTTTCACCCAATTGGTCTATGTGCAATCTGGCAAATAGTATATGGTCATATCCGCACCAATAGAAATACAGAAGGTCTATTGGCAATTGGACGATAGTACAAGGAAGTTCATCCCAATTCACCCTTGATTAATATAGCTCTGATGGCAGTGCAAGTGATACTTGCATGCGTAACGTAGTTTGAGTTGTTTGGTTAAGTTTTAAAATTCGGCAACTTGAAGTTACAATCACAGTTACGTACATTTGTTTCTGCTAGACTAGCAAGTAGTTCTCTACTGTAACTTGTCTTCACTTTCAAGGACAGAGCGATATTGAATTTAAGTTGGGA